AAAAGGTTCACTACTATTGCCATAAGGACTAGAAGCTTAAGTGGAAGCTGGGTAGTTGTTGAATTCCAATATTTAATATGAGGCTTCACTGTAAATGTTTGCTTTCCCGATGAGAAAAATGAAAGCTCAGCTACAGATTCATAAAGTTTATTAGATGAAAGCGAATGGAGTAACAGAATTTTCTAGTGGGAGATCTTATAACATTGGGGGAATAAGGGAAAACAAACAGCTATTCATCTTCCTCAAACTGCTGCTTTCTAAGGAGCATTATTTTTCATTCTTAAATGAGAGGCCGAATAAAAGAGAAACAGCATTGTTTCAAACTCCAGTAACACTGGCAAATCTTGCTCTTTTATATAAAGGGGTTTTTTCACTGCAGAGGTGTGTGATCCTCCCACAATATCTTGCAAGGAGGATTATTTTAATCATGCCAAATTCTAATTTTTATGTGCCAGATGGGAAAAATGATTAAACAGACAGGGAGGGATCATCTAAAGTGGTCAATGTTGTTGTCATGAAATGTCAGTGTTACTTATTTCTTCAGATGTGTCTCCTTAAGACTCTGGGTTGTTTGGCAAAAGGGATACAATAGTGAAATAGTAACATTGAACTCAGTTAAAGAAAAGCCAACTATCTCTGAACTAAATAATTATTTCCTTCCTGGGCTGGCTGTTTCCAACTAAGTTGCATCACCTGTTCTGAAGGCCCCTTGGAAAAATCTGGGTTTGACAGCTTTCTAAAAAGATATGGGAGGAGAAATGTCTATGGAGATTCTCAATCATTCAAGTCATGGTTGTCCCAAAGGTGCTTTTCCAAAAGATAACTGGACTTTCTTGGTTTTTTTCCTTTGAAAATGTTTTGCTTCTCACCCAAGAAGCTTCCTCAGTTCTGAAGAAGTTCTGAAGAACTGAAGAAGCCTCTTGCATAAGAAGTGAAACATTTGCAAGAAAAAAACCAAGAAAGTCCAGTTGCCTTTTGGGAAAGCACCTTTAGGACATGAGAGGGAACATTCTCCAAAGCACCTGAGGGCAGGACAAGAAGCAATGGGTGGAAACTAATCAAGGAGAGAAGCAACTTAGAACTAAGGAGAAATTTTTCTGACAGTTAGAACAATTAATCAAATGCTCCAAATGCTCCAACACTGCAGGTTTATAAAAAGAGATTGGATAACAATTTGTCTGAAATACTCTAGGGCAGTGATCCCCAACCTTTTTTATGCCGCGGCCCGGTATCCCCAACCTTTTTTATGGCACGGCCCGGTACCGGCCTCAGCTGGGCCGCCATCTTGTTTTGATGAAAAAGTGCTTCCGGTGAGCTTTCTACCCGGAAAAGCTCACCGGAAGCACTTTTTCATCAAAACAAGATGGCGGCGCCCAGCAAACCAGCGGCCCGGTAGGACTTGTTCCACAGACCGGTACCGGTCCACGGACCGGTGGTTGGGGACCCCTGCTCTAGGGTGTCCTGCCTAAGCAAGGGGTTGGACTAGAAGACCTCCAAGGTCCCTTCCAACTCTGTTATTCCCATCTATTCTCATTTTCTAACTACTACCGTGGTCAGGTGGTCCTGAAGATAATAAAGACCTGAGCCATCAAGACTTTGTAAGTGATAACCAATATCCTAATTGGAGCTGAATCCTCCAGGTAGTCCCTGCTTAATGACCCACTGCTTACTGTTCATAGTTACAATGGATCTCTCAAAAAATACTTACAAGCCAGTTCCAGACTTCCACTGACCTGCTTTATGGCAGGGGTCTTCAAACTTGACAACTTTAAGACTTGTGGACATCAAGTCCCAGAATTCCTCCTCCAGTCATGTTAGCTCAGGAATTCTGGGAGTTGAAGTCCGCAAGTCCTAAACTTACCAAGTTTGAAGAGCCTTGCTTTATGGCCACTGCAAACAAGGTCATAAAACTGGGTTGGTCACCTGGGTGCTTTGATTTATGGCTGTCATGACTTATGATGGACATTCTGGGCTCCATTATAGATGTTAAATCGAGGGTTATCTGTACTGGTAACCAACACCGATTCTTAAGAAAGACTTCATTCTGTTGTCATCTGGCTTGAAATGACAAAGAGGCCAGTCATGGTTGGCAGAGCCTCCTGATGCAGAAAAGGATCAACCAATGCTGGGCAAAAATCCTCCAAGCCATGGTTTCTACTAGCTGCCTAAGCAGGATCCCTAAGTTTAGACAAGTCCCCAAATTCTGAACCTGCTCATCTAGAGACCGAATAACAAACACAGAGATACTCTCATCCAACTTCCTGCTCCATCAGGAAACCTTATACCATTTCAGACAAATGGCCGTCTAATCTCTTCTTAAAAAACCCCCAGGGTTGGAACACCCACAACTTCTGAAGGCAAGTTGTTCCACCGATTCATTGTTCTACCCCAGGGGCCCCCAAACTTGGCAACTTTTAAGACTTGTGGACTTCAACTCCCACAATTCTCCAGCCAGCTAAGCTTGGAGATCTCTGTCCTACCCCATTCCAGAGCTAAAGATGGGAGGGATGCTTGCCAGCTTCTGAAGCAACAGAAAGTCCCTGTTTCTGGGATTCATTCTAAGATTCTTCATTTCAGTAAGGATTTTTGTGATCCCATTTCTTTGTCCAAGATCCACTGATTGTCACCATGGCACTCACCATCACCCCAAGTGTGAACCTTTGGTTTAGGTTCAGAATAGGAGAAGATCACAAGAAGCTCTCAAGAAGACATTGCTAGGTGCTTAGGAAAGCAGCCTGGCCTTTGAGATCGCCCATCCATGCTCAGACCAGACCAAAGCCTAGAAATTAGGCTCTACCTAAAGACTAAGTCGTATTCAGCACTCATTTCTCTGGAGCAGCCACAACCAACTTTCATGTGATCAGTGTATCTTCTGAATTGCCTTTTTTATCGGACAAAAGCAGACTTAGCAATCCGATAACCTTTCTCAGAAGAAGAGAATGGAAGCAACAGTTTGCTGCAATGGGGGAGGGAGAGATTTATCGCCTGCCAATGATGAGATGACATTGCTTTAAGAATGCATTTAGTTCCTAAGGCAACTTGGGACGGGGCGGGCGCATCCAACAGGAGGATCTGGGCTGTGGCTCTCTTGGAGATCACTCATTTTGAAGCTCCTGCCTCCCGCTCTGCAAATCCCTTGGTGCGGATGGAACTGATGGAACAGCAATAAAGAAATCCTCCAAAAAGTAATGTCGAACGCCAAGAAAACAAATGCAGGCAACTTCAAAGCAGTGTGACGATAACATGAATAGTCCATGGTCTGAGAGGCATCCTCACCATTTCACACCTCTTCCAAGAACGCCCTCCAGAACTAGCCAAGAAAATACAGCAAGTAGAATATGTGTGTACAGTATTTTTATTTACAGGTAGTCCTCCACTTTAAAAAAATAGGAAAAATAGCAGGAAAGACTTATTCTGACCCCAGAGTGGTCCATTAAACACATGGGAATTGCAACAGAAATGTGTTCAGTGTTCTGTCAAAAATTGGCAGTAATGAGGGGGTCTGTTATTCCTCCAAGTGGGCCAAGCTCTGCCACTGGTTTCTCCAAGGATTACATGCCTCATTAATTGCTTTCAGGAACCCCTTGAAGAATTCCTTGTTCTTAAACAAGTGCGTAGATTGTTCTTCTGCATCTGCCTACTGGTCTCAGAGTTTTTCTTTGCTGGATTTTCTATTTTTTGGGGTGGGTGGGTGGTATATTAGTTCCCTTCTGATCTTGTATTGTATTAAAGTGCTAGAGAGAGTGTAGAGAAGAGCAACAAAGAGGATTAGGGGACTGGAGGCTAAAACATATGAAGAATGGTTGCAGGAATTGGGCATGTCTACTACCCTAATGAAAAGAAGGACTAGGGGAGACATGATAGCAGTCTTCCAATATTTGAGGGGCTGCCACAAAGAAGAGGGAGTCAAGCTATTCTCTGAAGCACCTAAAGCAGGACAAGAAGCAATGGGTGGAAATTAATCAAGGAGAGAAGCAACTTAGAACTAAGGAGAAATTGCCTGATAATTAGGACAATTAATCAGTGGAACAACTTGCCTCCAGAAGTTGTGAATATTCCAACACTGGAAGTTTTTAAAAAGATGTTGGATAACCATTTGTCTGAAGTGGTGTAGGGTTTCCAGCCTAGACAGAGGGTTGGACGAGAAGACCTCCAAAGTCCCTTCCAACTCTGTTATTCTATTCTATTCTATTCTATTCTATTCTATTCTATTCTATTCTA